AATCTTTGAAAACTGTATTTAAGATTTAAAGGAGATGCATATTAATTGACGTAATAAAAATGCTCAGGCCTTTTATGTGTTATTTTAGAAATTAGTAATACCACTTTGCATTAGCATTAAAGCATTATGTAATGTACGAATTTGATTTCCAGAAAATAAATGCACTAAATATTAGAAACTCAACTTTACATTTGAACTTTAAATGCGATTCTCTAACTTAAAAATAGCAATTTTTTATTTTAAAACAACAAGTGCTATCAACTTTTATAATTAAGATCACTTTAAAAGCCTTTGGAATGTTTTATACCTACTTATAAAACTGATAATTCATCTTGGGACTAGAATATTTGTTTGTTTTTTTTTTGTTCAAAATCCGCAAGGATGATGCTATATTTAGAATTCTCAAAGCCTCCTACGTCATAGATTATGACGTAGGGAATGTGTGAAAAATCAAAAGTGGTTACCTTTTCACCTTTAAAAGGTTTTATTAATGACTTCTGTTCAGGTGAGAGCTTAAAATGAAGAAATGTTTTCAAGTTCAAAGATAATTTTAAATTTAAAACTATTTTACAATAATAATGTTTCGTGAATTTCTTTGAAAATGAATATTTTAAAATTGTGTAAGTATATTCCTTGTTACTTACTTTTAGTTCCATTAATTATTCTATGAAAAAATAACGCCCATTCATGTGAATTTAAAAATAAGGCTTAGGTCGAAGTAATTTCAAAATAATAAAAGACGTTATAAAAATACTATAAATGGTAGTTGAAATATTTTGAAGAAATATTACAAATCGCAGAAACATTTTTCAAATTTAAAGATAATTTCGCTTGACACTTATTTAAACACTAAGAGGAAGAATATGGTCAAACCTACTAGAAAATGGTTAAACATACCATGTTTCTGTCATTATGGGAACACCAAAAGGTGTGGGAATTTTACTGAAGCGCTATGGTCATGAATTTAATAATACAATAAAATATGTGATAAAACTCGGTAAATTCATTAAAATTTGGTAATTTTACCATGATGCTTTAGTGCATAGCATAACCATACTGAAAAGAGAATTTCACAGAATAAAAACCATTTATTCGGAGAAATTCCCTTTTCAGTTTCGTATTTTTTACTAAATATTTGGTTATAAGAATTATATTTTTAAAAACCAGAATTTCTCGTAATCCATTACAATTTTATCAGCAAAAATTGCCAAATACAATGCATTTTGGTTTTATTAACCTTAAATATTTTGTTTTTTTACCGGAAATTTCTTTACCATACATTATGGTAATTCTACCAGATTTTTTTTTTTTTTTTTGCAATAACTTTATTTTAATCTAATTTCTTTACGTATACTTGAAAGTGAATAACTAAAAGAAATCTAAAAAAATAATTCGTATATCAATAATCTAGAGTTTAAACAATAAATAGTAGTCTTATAATTAATATATAGCGTACCTGCTTCAGAATCGCTGGAGTCTAAACTTTAATGTAAAATTAAAACCATAATAATAAATTATTAATTATTTTATATAATAAATTATAAATTATTGTAGATAAATTATTAATTTATATATAATAATAAAAATAATGCATTATTTTATTTTTTATATTATTATATTATATTATTATATTATATTGTATTATATTATAATTATATTATCCATATATAATTATTTATATATAATACTAATAATTTATAGCTAATAATTAGATATAATTATTATATATAAATTATAAATTATAATTTTAAATAATAAATTATTTTTGTGACCATATATATTGCGACGTGAAGTAATTAAATTAATTACTAAGCGTTAAAAATAAGAATAAATCTAGATCGTTAACCTACTTTAAATAAGTATTTCTTAAGGTTGCGAAATTTAAAACCAGACTATCGTGTCTTAAGAATTAAGTTTACTTTACGTTTTATTTAATATTGATACTAAGCAAGTTCCCAACATTTTAAGAACATTTCATTGGAATTCAAAACTTATAATTAATTCAGAACATTTTATTCAGAACATTCAGAAAATTTCCTCAGTTCCCAACAATTTTCTACAGCTGAACCTGTTTATCTCGAACCTCTCTATCTCGAAAACCTCTATATCTCAAAATTTCTGAAATTCCCTACATTTACTGTCTAAAATCAATGTATTTTCCATGTTAATGTCGAAATTTTTCTTTTCAAAACCTCCGTTTATCGAATTTCTAATAATAGAGCAATAATGATAGATTGCAAGAGTTTTGAAACACATAATCATAACATAAAATATATAAAACTAGTGGGCTGCGCCCCCTGCTCGCTAACTCTCGCCTACCCCAGAAAATTGCTACGCAATCTTATATGGTTTGCTTCGCTCGCTACTAACTTAGGCACATTTCAAATGCACAAAATTGTAAGAATTCAAAACAATCATTCAAATCCATATAACAACCTTTTTTTTAAAAAAAAATACAATTCGTTAAACCTATTAGAAATGTGCTATAGTATAAAATCTTAAGATAGAATTTCTAAAACTGATATCTCTTTAAAAAGGTTAAAATTTTGGCTATAATTAAGCCTATTAAAAATTGAAATAAGTGAATTGCAATAGAAAAACCTGCATAAACAAAACATTATGTTTTTTAAAAATAATAACCATGAACGATTCACAACTTTGTTAAAAACATAAGTATAAGTCTTAGAAGTTTGACATACGAAAGAAAAACTTGCAGAAACTAAACATTAATTTGCAATAAATACTAAATCCGAACAAATACTGAGAAAAATTAAGGGTTTTGTTAATAACAAAAAAATAATTACTATTAAAGATTAAGAACTTCCTTAAACACACAATTATAAATTTCTGGACTTGGAGCTATCACTGTTAGGCTGTCAAATGATCTTACCCTAGAGAGGCCAACATTAAGTTGTCCATGACTAAAAACTGGTTTAGTCTATATAAATTCGTGAAAAAAAGCGCTTTCGACGAAATACTAAAATAGAGATCTCACTTCTGCCTAGCTTAATAGTATAAGATTGCAGCAGCTGAATTGAACAACCTGCTGATGCTCTCTCTGGTTATTTCAGTTTCCGTTTTTAAAAGCGCTATATGTTGAGCCACCTCAGCAAGATTTGGCATGTGACATTTTTAGCGACAATCATTGGTCGATTTTCTAGCGTTGCCTTTCGGGGAGTTGTAATGAGGCTTTTTTTTGTCGCCGTGTAAGAGAAATATATATATAGATAAATATGTTTATTTGTTTATAATATTGTTAAAAGTTAATAACTATTATAATATTGTTGTACAGAACCCTAAATTTTTAATTACTGCTATCCGCTCACGGGAAAAAAATCTGGCAAAGTTACCGTACTGTATAGTTGTAGCATTTATGGTAAGGAAAAAGCTATAATTCATGTAATAAAAATCAATTTATACGGCATTTAAACTATTCATTTGATAATTTTTCTGTTCATATGGTGACGGTTAATCGGAAATTCTGGTTTTAAATATAGTTCTTCTTGACACATTTAGTAAAAAATACAAGACTGAAAAGTAAATTTAACCGAATAGATGGTTTTAATAACATGCTTTAGGGTGTCGTGATAAAATAACCAAATATTACCACGTTTACTAAATCGTATTGTATCATTGTAATATATCACAAACTGTTAATATATTACACATTGTTAATATATAACACATTGTCATCATTGTTGACCATATTTTATTGTTAATTTTACCAAAATAATTACCAATGGGCTTCGGTAAAAATTACCGAGCCTTTTGATGTTCCCATAAAGCCAGAAACATGCCAAATTTTGGCATACTGAGATAGTTTTGATCACACTTTTTTTCTTAGTGTTCAATGCAGAGTATACATAATATATTTTTTATAAATTTTTAATAATTATAAATTTTTAATAAATACAAATTAAAGGTAATATTTAGTATTTTCTAACAATGATGAATTCCTTTGAAAATTTTTTTTTTGCGCGTCTTTTTGTGCGTCTCTCTGTAACATCTAACAGTTATTCAATGAAGAAGATATTAAACACTTAAGTCTTTCTTCTTCAGCGTCCACATTCAATTATTTAAAAATAACAAAAACTCACATTTCTAATTTTTTTTCTTCATTTCAAATTTGTTTATTTTTGAAAGTAAATAGTTTCTTTTTTCATGTTAAAACTGAACAACTTCTAGAAATTTTCATGTTAAAGACTACATGGAGAAGTTTTTTTTTTAAGTTAAAACTGGGTAACTTTCAGAGATTTCCACGTTGAGATTCATAGAGAAAAATTTTGTTTCCTTGTTTTAGTATTTTTTATTACTTCCAAATTTTCCTATTTTCATCTTAAATAATTTATAAATAAAATATATTTTCTCCCATATTCTCTTATTTCATTTGTTCCTAAATAAAAAAGCTCTGAGATTTATAATAAATAAATAGTTTTGATATTTTTTTCTTTATAACCATTTATTTAGATTTTACTGTTAAATTGCTCTTTCATAATTATAAAAATATTTGAGTGTTTTATGCTTTAAGAGTCGAAAAAGTATCTTTGTTTGAAAAAAATTATTAAAAACTTGTCCCTAAAATTTGTATAGCTTATTTGTTTAAATCATATACATTTAGATATTTAAATTATAATTGTTGGAAGAAAAAATAAAATAAAAAAGATATGAAACTTATGATTCGATTCATTTTTTTAATAATAATTTAAACGTATGAAAAACTAAAATTCACGATATTTTTCAGCCGAATAACAAAGATATTTCTGTTGTAGTGTTAATCTTTATCATGATCGTTATCAGAGTTGCATTTCTCGATATCAGCTAATATCATTATGTTTTGTATCGTTATGTTTTTAAGACCGACAAATTTTACTATAAATTTTTGTAAGAATAGCTTTAGTGCTGCCATCTATTATTTATCAAAGGAACACATTTTATATTTGAGAATAAAAATTCATTTTATTCAGATGTAAAATTAAACTAAATTGTTTCTTCTTTTTCAGACTTTATTTAATATATTTTCTCAAATGATTATGGATTATGGCTCTCTCGGTGAGTACATATTTTTTTCTTTTAATAGCAATTTTATTATTGTATTTGAATCTGTCTTTTTATGTTTTTANAATATATATATATATATATATATCGTTTAAACAAATAAAAAAAATAGATATTTCAAGAGCAAACTTTTTATCGGTGGAAGTATAGCAGCATTAAAGACAACAGCAAACTTATGCGAAATCTGAATCGATTTTAAGCGTTCTTCAGGCGATATAAAATGTGCGCCAGCATTGATGTCTTTGGAAGCAAACATATTTAACGTCTGGTGTGAACTAGCGTGAGATAAGAGTAAAATTTTTTTCTTTGTAAGGGTGTTTTAGATTTAACTACATCTTTTGAATTGTATATGAAAGCTCTACTTGGTGTTAACTTGTAAAAAAGTGCTAATTCACATATTTGTTTGGGTTGTTCAGCTGCAGTTTCGGAGAGATAGTGCAATACATTTTTTACAATGTATGAAATTTTAATGTATATACTTATTAATTTATGCCATTATTGATATTTATATTTCTGCGTGATTGATAATTAATTTTGTCAATGTCTTAGCTCTTTTGGCGGCGTGCATTATTGCACTCGTCATTGGTATCCTCTCAGTCTTCCTGATCGCCTTTTTTTGCAATATGGAAGCAGAAGACGTTCCTATAGAGCCTCATGAATCAGAGGGACTCACGAGGTAAACTTTCTTTGTCTTCATTGAAAAAGTTTTGCAGATTTTTACTAATGCCGGCAATCAAATGAAACAATTAAAATTTTTACGAAATTCTCATTTATTTACTCCCAAATATCTGTAGGCCGATTATAAGAGGAAGTTCTTTTTTTTTGGTTCAAACTTTTGCCTTTATGAATTGCTCAGTAAAGGAAAATTTTAAAAAAATGGTCTATCTATTTCATGATACTTTGATTAACAGCTTAGTTCAATTAGTAATTTAGTTAGATTCTATTTAATAATACTTTAAATAGTAATTTTTAAAAGTATAAGTAAAAAGTGCTGGAAAAGCAATCTTTTAAAATTTTTTTAAAAACATTTAAAAAATGTGTTCTAAAAACAGTTTGATCTAAAATACTTTTATTATATGCCACTGCATCGAGGACATATTACTTTCTAAATTAATATAACTGATATGATTATATATATCCTAAAAAGTAATAAAAAAGCTAAGTTCTGTAAAATGTAATACCATTTTTCTCCCCATTTCTGGAAACAGAAGAATAAAACTATGCACAACTTTTTAAAAATACTAACGTTAAACGAGCTAAAAAAGCACAAGTAGCTTTTACTTGTGTTTTCATTGCTTGTAACGAAAAGGAAAGGTACTGTGTTCTGTGTTTTTGTTTCCTTTTTGAATAGTAGAGCTTCTGCTATGAAAGTAAATATTCATAGCAGAAGCTCTACAATACCTCAGATACAATTAAATATCTGACTTTTTTAAAATATGAATTCTCGGGAACTATGAACCCCTCTCCTGACCAAGCTATAGGGACCATATTCCAGATACGATGAAAAAAAAAGCTATGTTTATTCGAAGAAAGTATGTTTTGTAACATATTTCATAACTTAAAATATCATCTGCCCTAATTCATTGGCATATATAAGGTCAACCGCTCAAATCATTAGAATTGAGTCTTAATCCGATGAGTCATCAGATCAGAAGTTATTCTGGCTGGTTCTTCCTTTTTCTGCGCACTGTACTTCAGATGAAATATGAAAGAGTTCATCACTCACAGTAGAAGAAAAACACAATCGAATGACAATTTTAGTATATCAATAGTATAATAGCTGTTTTCATGGCTGCTTTACAACCTAATACTTTTCGGAGATTGACAAAAAATTATGAAAAAAAATCATCTTTATTTTTGCTATTTTTAATCAAAAATTCTAAGATGCTAATTCATAAATCAACTATAATTTAGAATCGAACGGAATTTAAACTCTAAAGTTAAAAGTTTCACTCACACAATGAAAATTACAGGATGAAATCAAATAGAACGTCATAACTATGACAGTGTAAGAGAGGGGTACATAAGGAATGGTGGCAACGAAGTAAAATTATTTGCTGCCATAACAGAATAGTTATGACATAAAGGACGTATGTAGATGATTTTTTGCTTGCTGGAATTACCAGACGCTTGGAATGTGGCCGTGCTCAGATGCAAATATTCAAGAAACTTGTAATTGCCATAAGTGCCATCTATAGGATTCGGCAACAATTCCGAGATAATAGAAATGTTAGTAGCCGTTAAGTACAGGTCGCCCCCAAGTCACAACGCCGAAAGAAGATCGGTATTTGGTAGTAACTGCCAAAAGAAGCAGACTGAGCATGGCATCCTACCTGCCTCATCGCCTCTCAGCAGCTATGGGTATCACAGATTTAAACAAACCTTGTACAGACGTTTGGAAAATATTGGATTATATGCTCGTAGGTCTGTCAGATCTATTCCGCTTACGGCAACTCACTGTCACAGGCGATTAACCTGGAGTAGAAAACATTCGATTTCGGGTACAACACAGTGGGATTGAATGATGTTTTCTGCTGAGTCCAGGTTTAGCTTGCAGTCTGATTCACGGCAAACTTTCATATACGGAACGTCAGGTATCAGTTGCTATCAAGGCAACATCTTTGAAAGACATCGTTACATTACTGCAGGATTCTTCGTTCTGGATGGAATTATAATGAGTTCCAAAACAGATATGTATGCTCAAATCAGGACCATGGCAAGCCAATTTTATCAGGGCATCTTTATGAAGCAACAATACGTTTGTTTAGGCGTGCCATTGGTGCAGAATTCGTGTTTATAGATGAAAACGTCCGTCTTCACTGAGCAAACATCGTAAACGAATACCTTCAACTTGAAGATATCACCCCAATGGAATGGTTAGTATTCTCACTTGACTTGAACCCGAAAACATGTGTGGGAATAACAAGTGAGGGTTATGCTTAATCGACAAGTTGCACTCTCTCACCCGCTTGAGACATGCGTACCGAAAGTTTGGACAGCATTGCTTGAAGTGGAATAATCTTCCTGGGAATAGCGAGATAATTTAAAACTTAGTAAATCTAGGCGATGCACGGACTGTATTTCATCGCATGGGAGTATACGGTATAAAGTATTGATACTTCAGATGCATCATCTGTAACATTTATTTTACCGCAAAACACATTTTTACAGTAAAATATTATACCGCAAATTTTACAGCAATATTTTTTTAATTCGAGTGATTTAGTGACTTTTCGGTAAACTTTACTGTAAAAATTATGGCATATCAGATTTTTGTTCAGTAGCATGTTGTGGTATTTCTGGATGTTCTGGATTTGAACGGTAAGAAGTACCGACTGCGTGCAGTTACTTTTTACCGTGATTTTGATCCGGATTTTTTTACAGTGTGTGTTAAATTTTTCAAAGGAGTCAGTTTAATTTTAAAAACCTAGTATATGTTTTTTCTGAGTTTTGTAAACTAAACATCCAGTTTTTATGGGAATATTAAATTATTATCACTCTAACGTCTGTTTGTCCTTTTTCAGAAACATGTCTCCTGTACCATGCTCATCCACAAGTGATTCAACATTTCTCATGTGTACAGCGGTGTGAAGGTGTATTGCCAATATATACCATTCTTTGTTCAATGTAACAGGCTCAAAGTGATGTTTTTCTCGTAGCAACAGCATCGGCTGCCGGGATATTCATTTCTGTATGTATTCAACGTCTCCAACCAAATAAATATCACCACAAAAAATGCATTTATATCAAGCAAATTCTCACAGTTTAATATCATTTTTGCATGTTTCTGAACTACTCCCTGATTTGGTGTTAGCACCAGAATGAATGCATTTACGTCATTATATAGCCAGTCATCCAATCAGAATGCGTGATGTATAAAATTTCCTGAATGGATAAAAAAAAAAGAGAGCTTAAGGTTGTGATGACAGTAATTTTCTTCCTCATTGCTGCAGTTGTTTGGTTTTCCAAAATTCTATGTATGCTTTTATGCATTCCTATGTATGCTTTTTTTCTTTCCTTATTTGACTATACTCCTTTAAGATACGTTTATTTATGAAAAAATTAAGAAATTCAGAAAAATTTTAGTTAAATTTTATTTAAATCATAATGAATTATTAAACAAATAATAATTAATTAATCATTAATTAATTAAGTAACAATTCATTACTAATTAGAAATAAATAAATTATTAATTAAAATTTAATTATTATTAATTAATTATTAATTAATCACGAAATTTTTATTTGTAATTGATAATCAATATATTGGCATGTATTAGCCTAATCCTGTGTATAAGAATTTTGACATTTATTGTAGATATTTCATACAGACTTGCAGTTTCTATTTTAGCAGAAAGTAATTTCAAACATGATTTTTTATACTTCTAATGTACCTGCAACGTGTTATAAAAGTATGAAATTTATTTAATTTTGGGTATGTAGTTTTTAATTGAATTTATAGAAAAAAAATTGTGTTTTAATGCATTTGCTGGTACATAATGCATTTATTTACCCGTATTTTTTAATTTTAAATATTTAGTAATTTTATTTACGGTTTTAAAAATGTGTTTGATATAAAGATATAAATTGGTTATTGTAAAAAAAGTTTGATGTGACATTTTAGATATTCAATTTTTTTCAATATTAAATTTTTTAAAAATATTTTTAATATCGTAATCACAATACTATTTCCCTCAAGATTTTAACTTATATAAAGATTAAAAAAGTTTTCTTAATTTTACCTATTTTTTATAACTTTAATCTCTTTTTAATTTTCTTCGTACTTTCCTAAACTGGGTTAGAGACTAACTTACTTTCTGAATTTCCTTAAATAAAGGTAAATAAAGTAATTAAAATAAATAAAACAAAATAATTTGCTTAAATAATACGTTATTGTATTTGCTAAATAAACTAAGTAATTATTCAATAAATTTTTTTTTGATGAAATCAACATAAATTTGATTATTATTAAATGGATTGTTCTCGTGGTCAATGCAAATAATGATAACAGGGAGCTAAATTTATTTAGTTTAAAATTTTGTAAATTGAAAGTGTAACAAAATATTTTTGTTCAAAAAACGAAATGGAATACATGACGAGCCATTTCATTTGCCAACTCTATGTATTTTTCCGTATTTCCCGAAAACAGCTGAGTTACACTAGTCATTAAAATAAAATTTTAAATATTAAGTACGAGACCATTGCTTTTTGCTAAAATAATCACGTTGAAACGACATTGAAAATCATATTTTTTTTTAAATAGAAGAAATAAAGATTCGTATGAAGAATTATAGGAACCTCTCTCTAATGTTATGAGATAAATTAACGCCAATTAAAATCACAAACGGAAAATTTAATATAATGTAGTCAGTGTCATTGTCTGAAAAATTCTGATGATGCAAGTAGGCATTTATTCTTCATTTAAAAAAAATTCTCTTAAGTAGGGATCAATATTCCGAAATCAATTATTATTTTTAGTGCAATAATTTATTATTCAGAGAGAAATCATAAAGTTTTTATTTTTTTCCCATTGCAAATTTTTACTAAGTGAATTTCTGTCGAATTCACTAAAAATTTAGTATGATATTGACCTGGTTATTTTCATCAATTGAATAGGCTGAAAATCTTGACCAAACGGAAATATATAAATTCCTTTAAAGAAATACCATCAGTAATATGCATTTAGTTGCTTCAAAAATTTTCTTTAAAATAAAAATGTATAGAATCATTTAAAATTTTTTATATAATCATTCTTTTAATGAAATTTTTTAGTTTAGGAAAAAACTGAATTTCTGTGTGGTGCCTAATGTTGTGGCATTTTTATAAGAAGTCATAAAAGGTTAAATTCATCAAAATACACACAAGTTTATATGTAAATATTAATATCGATAATTATAATATCAAATGTTTGAAAATTTACTTTTAAATATGGCTATGTCATTGCTATATTTTTAGCAAATTAAGTTTAAATTAAATTCTTCGAAATAAGGGTTCTATTTTAGTCCTAAATGAAGTGTAATTGAATACCTGTAAGTGACGTCATCGGAGGTAAATCGTGGCATTTGTTAATTTAGAAGGCCATCAGGTTTGACTCTCACGCGTGACGTGGCTAGCAGGTATCCAATTAAATTTGATTTAAATCACATAGTTAGGGATAATCACTTCCCTTCTTCTCTAGTTGCAAACACGCAATTGATTTTAAATTGGTGTTATTGGAAATTTCCATAGTCAATTTTGCACTCAGCTTGGCTATTTTAGTAAAAAGCAACTGGTTTTGTTTTGATAAGTATTCCTTTCTGACTAGTGTTATATTTCTCAAAATAGTTTTTAAATTATTAATTGAGATTTTTGGAACAAATAAAATTTTTCTTCTAATTCCCTTTCTAAGATGCAATAATTTATTTTAAGCTGCTATTTTAGCTGCAACGTACCTTTGGCGAGCAATATTGGTTCAAATATCAGCTCTTCGTTTAATTTTGATCAAATTTGAGATCATTCGAAATAAGTTATCCAACAATATATTAATTGTCGTGGTACGTCCACTGCATGTATGTGATATCCAGACATGTATTTTGGAAACATGCAGTGGACGTTCTGTGGATATCTTGTATCATAAAAGTTAGATTTAATGAGTTTCCTCATACGTCCTTGTTGTGATAGTGTTTGCGTCAATGTGATATTGTGAAGCGTCAATTAACCAAATCATTCACAAAAGTTGCTCAATGCTTTCATTAGTAGTGGTGAATCGCACGTTTATTGTATCTTAACACTTCACCAATTCATGTCTTGCTGCATGCGAAACATCTGTATAAAGCATAGCACATTAAAATGTAATTTTTTTTTGGAGAAACGAGTATTAATATCCCTGTAAAAAACACCTACATTTAAGTCTACAACTGGAAAAAAAATTGATTTTAGGTGATAACATGTTTAAGATAGGTACATAGAAGTGTTTTATGAATGTTCAGTAAGTTCTCATATATTTTCAATAACGAAGCGCGGGCTTAAAATATTCTAAATTTTCTTTATAGAAAAAAAAACATCATTTTGTACAAAATTGGGAATTTATGTAAAAAATTTTGTTCATTTGATTCAGCCTTTTTTTTTTTCAAACTCATATAGACAGCAAGCAAACACGACTTTCTTAAGAAGTTTTCTACTAATCTGTCTTTAATACTCTGAAAATGGTTCAGTTTCACGCATTTAACATCATTCAGTTTTGATAGCACGCATCTCGTATGTAAAATATTCAACCGGATTGAGATTTGGTTGGTTTTTTCTTTTAATTTTCAGAGCAGACAATAAGCCAGATTACTTCAACATTATTATTATGAACCTTTTACCTTGCATAAAAAAGATTTAAAAAAATTAATTAATTAATAAAAATGAAACGGCAATGCGTGAAAAAGTTAGAAATATATTCTATGTTATAATTTTGGGAAAAATTAATTTGGCATAGGTTACCAAATGGTCTTCTGGCAAAAAAACTCTTATACCAAAACTTTTATAAAACCAATACGGCACACAAAAGTATTTTAGAAAAGCATTATTTCTCCTATTTCAAGTGAATTTGTTTTATTAATCGTATCCATGAAATAACTTATGTAATATATACAATAAATATGATTAATATAGTTTTTTCCAGTTGTACGAATCTTTTATGTATCAATGTTTTTTTTTGTTCTTGCTTTTTTTTACATGTTGGATGATAATCAAAATTTATTCATAGATGGAAATTTAGTGTGCCTAGATTAGTTTGCTGTTGATGTAAATTTATTGAATGTTTAGTTAAATATGGTTTCATCTGTATGTTTTGAAATGTTCAGCTTCCAAAGAGAATGAATTGTGTTTAAGGGAGTGCCTTTATGTTGAAATTACATTATAAAAGAATCATTAAAACATTATACTTCAGTTTCTCTATATAAAACGTTTTCAGCGGTTTAAGTAGAAGTAGCAAAAGCATTTCTTTAACCCTATTTTTCTTCTATACATAAAAAGATCTTCAAATCTGTTTATATGATAGTCTTAAAAGGATATTAAAAACTTGTTTTGGAATTACAAGGAGGGCAAATAAGAATAACAAAAACTGGTATAAGAATTATTAGAATTTATAACAATATCAAAAACTTATTTTAAAATTACATGGAGGTCAGATAAGAATATCAAAAATTTATTTTAAAATAACAAGTAGGTAGTAATAGTACTTTAGTTTCGCAGTACAAAAGTTGTATAATGGACTATTGGTAATGGTCTGGGAAATATTCCTAAGGATGGTCCGAAGACATGCCATCACAATTTTAACCTTCTGCAGCGGAGATGGCTCCCTTGCTTTGGTAGCCCGTCGACCCGGACACGAACTCAAGCACTTTACAGTAGAACAGTTTAATGAGGACCGTTACTGAACATCCCTAGTTGCTTTACAGGCTGATTGAAGTGGTCACATAAAAGCTTACTGACCACTGTCTATGACTTCGGTGCTCTACTGGGAATCGTGTCTTTACGATTAGTCTACAATGGGACTGATAAGAATACCCTAAACTTATCTTAAAATTAGAAGAAATCATTCAGCATCGCAATTTTCACAGACATATTGGAAGTTAGATGGATCGCAAACTTTTAAAGAAAATAATTCGCTTGTTTTAATACAAAATGTTTATTACATAGACATATTTTTTTGCAAAAGCTATTTCTCTCTTAAAATGTTATGTTGCACCTTTGCGTAACAGCTGGAGTAATATTATTACATATGATTTTTTATTAATATGATGCCGGTACTCAATGCTAAAAACATTTGCCCCATCACATTATTGGTTTCGACATTGTAGAGAACACGCCCCTTTGGCCTACAACTGGCTGTTGCGGGAATACTCTACTTTTATTTTACTACTTTCTTTTTAAATTTCCTGACAATATTTCCTCTAATGAAGGAAAATATTTCAGTATGAATGGCGAGTTAAAAACATTCTTCTGTGGTTCAGAAGTCAACAACATGTCAAACAACCAAGTCGAGCGTCACAAAAGAACCAAGTTAACACTTCTTT